GGACTTGAATCAGCTGTGTTTAACGACCCAAAATGCCTCCTGCTGACTGACGCTAGATTTTCTGTCCATCGGTTTTGCTGCCAAACTTCTCCAGTTTTTATGATAGGGCAATAAATCAGCCGTTGTCTCCTAACCTTCCAGAAGATTTTAGAAGGCCATTATGTTAGCGTTTTTCCTCTATACAGGACCGCCCTGATCGCAACTTGTATTGAGGTTATATTCGAATTTACCTTGGACCGAGACTTACATGAACACCTTTTGTGGTCACAACCTGGTGTCCCGTTTGAAGATGTTAATCCAATGTGTTTGGCTAATCAGTTAATTTTCTGGAAGTAATTATTAGACGTCACGCCTACCCCCCATTTGGGCATATGAAAAAGCTGACTCTCTAAGCTCTCCCGAATATCAACACGTCCCATTTGGGCAGTCTAATTGGGGTTTTTTTCCTTCCACTGTCGGTCATAAAGCCACCTGCTCACCTCATTTGCTTCGAAAAGCGAACTTACACTAAGTTTACTAAAATGTGTCAGATTTTAGCCCTGCACGACACTAATGCTCCAGTGTCGATATGCATATTAAGTTTCGTACAGTGTTAGAGTCAATAAGTCCATATTGCGATGGAGCCCTTCTGACTTCTCTGCATCCCAAGATGAGGGGAATGATTGAAGGAGGAGAACGTTTCAAAGACTTGTTTCTCTCCAGTAAGTTGTATTTAGCCGTTCGTTAACTGTGTCCCTGTCGCAAACTATACGCATTTGACATGGAGCCTCCGTCTTCAGCCTAAATGTAAAATCTAATTCTTATACAAACGTTTGAGTAGGTGAGTACTGAGCAGTTTAAATATCTCGTTTTTGAAATTATTCGACCGAACTAATCAAACGGAAATAAGCAGCGATATGTTGGCCTCCATATAGTTAGAGCTCAACTTTCATATTTATCCTCAATGCATCTGTATATCAAATTCATGATTCAGTTTTATTTTTAAGTTTTCATCCTCCAAGCAAATTTCTTTTTATTTTAGGTAAGAGAATTCGAAGTTAGTAAGCTGGTCGCTGAGAAGAAGCTCAAGGAGTTCCAAGGCAATGTTCGTCTTGCTCTTCTCGCCATGTCCAGATAGTAGGCTGTGTCCACCTGTAACTGTGCTTGCCTTGTATATGAAGTTTGTCACAAAAAATTGTTTTTTCTTCATGCCGGAAACAAGTATTCGCTCACCAGTGTTGCGCCCAATTTCCTGGTCAAATTATTTGACAGCCAAGCTCCCTCACTAGAACGAGTTCTCGTCAGTGAAGCGAAGCACGAAATTATGTGTGCCCTATTCGTCCTAATCTGTCTCAATAGCTGGTGTCGCTTAGTAAAACTACTCCATTGTTGCAATCGGGCTGTCGGTATCAGTACGTGCGTGTAAATATTTCAAGTGCCGGTTTCACAGTTCTATACTTTGTCTGACGAAAACGAATATTGATCGAATGCGTCATGCTACGGTTATACAGGCTTGATTACATTAGGTGTTGTATTCTCTCTAGTTATTTTCTGTGTTTGGTGTACGCGTAAAGTAAGTTTGTAAATGTATACCTCTGCTCTAGTGGTCGTGCGGCATCCTCGGTTCCTTTCGGGTGTTCTCTGCTTTGATAGTGTGA